AGGAGCACACGTGCAGAGACCGAGAGGACAGGCAGTCACAGTCACAAACCTGTCCATTGCAGTTGAGCTCTGAGATCAGCAAGGAAGCACTGACTATTTAATTAGTCACCTAATCAGTGACAGGCCACACTGAAGGTTTCAGATGTCCTCAGACAAATGTAAAGATAAAAAGCCTAATTAAGCCGCCAGCGCTAGGCTGGCTGCTGCCAGAGCCCACAGCTGTGCCGGATATTGTGCGGAACTGCACGACCCGATAACAGGAGTTGTGGTCATTGCCACAATTGCAGCTTGAAAAACATGCCCTGCTTGGTCCAAGCTATTCTTAGTCACCTTGACACATTCAACCAGATGAGGGGATCAACGTCTAGGCTGAAAGTCTGAGGTTGCATCTTTTGCTGGGATGATTTGGTTGGTTTTCAAGAAAACTCTTCTCAGTGGTGGAAGTGGAAGACAAGGGGAACCCGGGCTTTCCAGTGCCCACCAACCAGTGCTTCCTGCGAATCAGTGTTCTAGTCACACGGAGGGTCGCGGGGACACCGGCTGGGCTGCTTTCAGTCATTGTCATCCATGACTCTTGTAAGCATTTTTCTAGTGCCATTACAGGCTCTTCAAAAGATTCTTTACATCGGGATTAAATTAGGAAAGAGTTAAAAATAATGGATTAAAAAGGAACTTCCCCATAATTAGGAGTAAATACTACAAAACACCAAAGCATAGAGACTCATGTGCTGAAACAGAAGAGGAGAGCAACTGCCTCAGCTCCATGAACGCAGGCCCAGGAGACAGTCAAGGTGCTGTTCTGCATCATTCTGGAAAAAAAGCCTGTTTGGGACACTGTCTGGGGCAGGGCCTGAGGTTCTGCATTTCTGACGAATTCACAGGTAATGTCAATGCTGCTGGTCCACGCGCCACACCAGGAGTGAAAGGATGCAGAGAGGTGCATACACCTGGTTCCGGCTCCTCCTCTTCTGTTTTTTTTTTTCTTCTATTTTGCTATAGCATTTATATACTTAAAAAAAAAAAGATTCTGGAGTATCTTTGTGGAAACCTGAAATAGTCAAAGCACTGCATTTGAGGAGTTCCGTGATGCTAGACTCGGTGGGAGTTCACTTTACAGTGAGTTCACTTTACAGATCTCGCCCTCATAGGGTTTGTGGAGTTTCTACCGTGGTGGTGCCTTCGGGCTGGCAGGACCTGGGAGCCCCTGCTGGGACTCTCCTTCCGCACAGATGAGAACAGTACCTCCCTCAGGGCCACAGCACTGCTTGGCAGCAGAGGTGGGCTAACAGCTGCAGCCAAGTTCTTTCTGCTTTCTCCAGTGCTTGGAGGTTTTAAAGAGTCTTCATAATGGAAGTGCTGAGAAGGAGAACGCACACGTGACATCTGCAGTGTCCGAGCCAGGAACTTTCAGTCCCAAAGAACAGGGTGGCCAAATGAACAAACCCACCAATCACAAGAACAGTCACTGAAAAATAATCCAAGTCTATCACTTAAATATCTTGGGCATTATGAAGAACACACATAATCTCACAGTGAATGTCTTAAGATCTGTCTTTTCCCCTCCAATTTATGGCCCTCTACCCCATAGTACAAGCCGGCATTTTCTTCCTCTATGCCCTGCAACGCAAGAGAACCACCCCATTGCCCTCGCCTTGCCCTGCCCAGCTCCTGATCCTTGCCACAAACGTGCACGCTCCTGCGCCGGCCGGGCAGATGATAGGAAAGAAGGCTGGGTCCTTTCCTCCTGGGCTGCCTTCAGAGGCCAAGTGCACAAGACAAGGGGGAAGGGAACCAATGAGCTGAGCCCACCCCACCCTGAATGACTCTACGCCCCTGCCCATCTCCACCCCTGGAGGCCTCCGGCAGGGCTGAGGGAGACTGTAGAAGCCTCTGAGGGCCGTTGGCTCCTAGGCTCTGCTGGGGATCACCAGGGCCAACAACAGGAAGGCACGGAGGACAGCAGGGGAAGTAAAAGACTGGGATGCTGGAGTGTGTCCCCAGGAAAACGCCTGCCATGCATGTCTCCCGGTGCTGGAGGGCCCAAGAGGCTCCCCCTAGGAAGGACAAGATGCAGGACTCAGGCCTGACAACCACAGACAAGGAGCTGTATCTGTGCAGATTAACTGCACTCAGCTAGCAGATAAAATAGCATACTTTAAAAACAAGTCAGAACACCAGCGCAGTATTCCCTCATCACATGGAGCTTACATCCTAGGGTATATTAGGTAGTGAGTTTGCATAAAGCACTTCGGCTCTCCCAGTAGCACCTCAGCACTTGGGGAAGAAAGGATAGAAATTTACACAAACTGCTTTTGGTGTCCTTTGAAGAGAAGACCAAATGTATTTTATAATTTCTTGCATGGAAATAATACAAGAAGAAAGTTGTGTTTGTTTTGTCATCAGATGACAGAATTACCAGATTTTCTGGAGAAAGAGGTTACTGTCCTGAGCCTCAAGTGGATTTTCTAGGAACGATGGTGCCCCTACTGAGTCTGACGATGCAGCTCAAGACTACAAGGAGGCAGCCGGGTGCAGTGGCCCCTGCATGTAATCCTAGCACTTTGGGAGGCTGAGGCGGGTGGGTCACTTGAGGCCAGGAGCTTGAGACCAGCCTGGCCAACATAGTGAAACCCAATCTCTACTGAAAATACAAAAATTAGCCGGGCATGGTGGCTTGCACCTGTAATCCCAGCTACTTGGGAGGCTGAGGCAAGAGAATCACTTGAACCTGGCAGGAGGCAGAGGTTGTAGTGAGCCGAGATTGCTCCACTACACTCCAGCCTGGGCAACAGAGTGAGACTCTCTCCAAACAAAAACAAAAACAAACAAAAAAAGACTACAAGGAGGCTGATTTTCCTAAATTTTGCTTCCAAAATGTAGATTCAATCCTCATTGGTGGTCAGTGTTGGGTGAAAGCTATATTTCTTCATTTCAGCTCAAATTGTATATAAAATTAAATTCAAATGGCAGTTAAACTGGGAAAGTAAAATAAGCAGGTTACCATGGTGATTGCTAACTTAAAATAATTAGAGAAAAATAATAAGAAAACTATTTCCTCTCTTAAGGATTAGAGATCCGTAAACTGATACCAGTCTATTTTTAGTGTACATAATCTGTGTAATGATGATAGAGAATTATGAGTATTTTAGAATGCTTTATAAAGCTCTATTTGATTGGGAAATTTAATCAACCCAATACTTACATCAAAATTTATACTTGTCTTTATTAAATCTAAGTTGACTCCACAAAAAGAAAATTACTTGTATATGTCTCAATGTAATCATTTAAATAAAACATTATGACTAAGTAGATAGCTAAATTAAGATTTAAGACCTGTTTATGATAACTTCTTAACTGCTATAATTTCACAGCTCCACCTTGATAATTCATCATTCAAAAATGGTTGCATAAAACTTGCTGTTCGAAAGTTTTCAAGGCAGAGACCCATCAGAATAAGTAAAGCACTCAGACTACAACGTGGCATGCCCTGGGAATGGAATATTCCTAGGTGCTTCTCATCATTTCATGCTTGCAGTGAAATATTGCTGCAGACTGACCACATTATTTAAAGCACATGAACTCTGTTACTAACTTCAATAATGACACATAATTTATTTCTAGTTACCTAAGGGTATGTTCTGGAGAACTGAATAAACTGGCTAGAAAGGGAAAAAATCAATTCTTTTTTTATCTGGTTAATGTGATGTTAAATGAGCAAAATAACCACTTGGGATTAGCTCGTCTCCATGTTAACCAGGCACATACACCTTTTGAGGGTCACTTCCTCCGTTCATTTTCTTACCCAGCCCCTCACAAGGCCCCGCCTGTCTTGAGCTGGGAACTCTGCTAGCTTCCAGAAGAGTGACGGCGGGCTGCATTTTCCTGTCTCCTGCTTACCTCTCAGCACGTGTAGTTTTGAATGGTAGCTAAAGTTTTTCATGTGATCCTGAACAAAAGATTTGGATAAACTGGACTCTTAATCCAGGGTTCTGTGGTTCCCAAAGTCAGGGTTTTAAAACATCTATGAGACTTTAAACAAAAATAAATGAAGGTAGCGAGTTTGACAGAAGCTAGGCAATACACTGACGGCTCCATGTTAGGTGCTGATGATGCCAGGCCATGATCCCAAGTTCTCAGACCCTAACCCAGGGTGTTTTCTACTAAAGAGGTGCTCAATTCAGTGAGCAGATAGAGAGAGAGACTGGGGATGCTGCAAATCCCTGAGCATCACGCATCAGAAAAATGGGCTCTGAAAGGAAACCTTGTTTAGTGCTTTGAGGGGGATGAGAAAACAGCATCAGAAGAGATGCACAGGCCTCCGTATTCCCTGAAGGGTTTTACCTGTTCCATGGGATCCAAAATTCAAGGGCTGAAGAAAGGTCCTGGCCCACATGCCATTTCTGAAACTGTAATGTATGAAGTCAAAACTCATTCCCAAACCTGCCTGATTATGTGGAATGCCTATTAACATTCAGATTCCTAGACCCTTCCCCAGGAGTCCAGGTGCTGCAAGTTGGGTGCAGGATCTTAGAACCTACATCTTTAACAAATGCTGCAGGTGGTTCTTATGATCTGGCCAGTAAGGAAAACATTCCTTTAGAAAAGGGGTCAGTAGGTTGTTTCTGGGAAGGGTGAGACAATACATATTTCAGGCACTGAAGGCCATATGGTCTCCGTTGCAACTACTCAGCAGAGGAGTCTGCCATCTAATCTGCTATTGTAGCACAAAAATGGCCACAGACAACACATAAATGAGTGTGGCTGTGTTCCAATAAAGCTTTATTTACAAAAGCACTTGGCAAGCCAGACCTGGCCTCAGGGCTATAGTTTGCTGACCCCTGATGTAGAATATTCTTTCACTGATTCATTCATCCACATAGGCAGGGTGTGTAGAGTACTGAACAATCTCAGGTCTGTTCTCTGAGGGTGTTCTCTTCAGATGTAGGAATATAATTTTTATTTTTTAAAAACCAATTGATCAATAGAGTAAAACAACTCACCAAAATACCAATGTCTCTAGGAAGGAAACTCCAACACTGGATGCACCGACCACAATGATCTTGGCATTGACAGTTATTTTAGGTGCCAATGTTAGTTTTCTGTTTGTATGGTTTAAAGCATAACTCATCTGGAAAAAAAATACAAAGACAAAGAAGAAATCAAAGAAAATGTAGCAGTGTTCATACCCCCACATTACCAATTATGTAGAGTTATTTAACCAGGACATTGCCACCAAAACAAACCTAGTAGTGCCCATGTACAGCCACAGTGAAATGTATGGGAAGATATTTTTAAGAAATTAATGTATGAATATGTGAATATGCCTGACATCTCAGCTAGGTCACATCAGAATGCCTGGTTTTCAAGATTTTGTCTTAATGCTGACAGATGTCTCATACAGAGCAGAGACCCTCAATGATTAGAGACCACCAGTAAATGATACTACAAGGAGACGGGCAAGCTACTCCCTGAGAATCTGTAGTTCCATGAGAGGTCCTAAGTGTTTTCTTCTGTCCACAGTTTCCCTGAAACCTTGAGTAACAAATTATAATAGTTGGGTACTTGAAGATAAGTTTTAGCTCATGTTCAATTCTGTGTCCCTCACGTTACTTAACGTGGTATCTTCTGGACAGTAGATGCTCAATAATATTTGTAAAATGGCAAACATTTATTAAATGGCAAAAGTGTGTTAAATAATTAGGGTTGTTCAACCTTTCAGATACTTCAGAGTCAGGGAGGCCTCTTAGAATCACAGAAAGTAACTGGTGATCATGTTAACGTCCATGTTTACAAAAATTGCCTGAATTAGTCATTTATTTGATTTACACCCCTGCAGAAGCTGCAAGGGGTATATTAAATGTGCAAAGTAAAGTTTTACAAAGAAGTGATACAGCATTCTTGGAAGAACATTGGGATCTGTGCCAAAAGATCTTGGTTCTATTTTTAATCCATTGATTCAACACACTTTTTTGTTTGGTGCTTACTATGGTGTCTGGACAGTAACAAGAATTACAGCTGACTTCTCATTGGAAACAATGGTGACCAGAAGTCAATGGAAAGATATTCTTATCACCTCATCCCATGCTGTTAACTACATCAGCATTAACTTCATCCTCTAGGTCAGAAATCTCCACATTCTGATAGGTCAAACCTGCTTTGGATTTTCTTAAAATCCTGGGATACCAGGAGTTGGAAGTCTGACAGAATAATGGTAAAGTGTTATTTGGGTTCTCACCCACTTTCCAGTACTGTAGGGGCATGGGTGTGGCCATACACTTTGCCATTTAAAGGTAACATCTCAGATCTAGAGCATAAATCCCATTTCTCTGTCTCTAGATAGCCTAGCAACATGGAGGAAGGAAAATGGCTTGAGCCAAACAATATATTGATAGAAACTTAAAACAAAAGTGGGAGATTTCAGACTCCATAATTAACATCGCTTGTACTTCTCAACATCATTTCCACCCTACAACTCCCACCTTTAATTTGGCACAACAGAGATTTTGGAAGATATTGAGCTCACTCCCATTTTCAAGAGGGACTCAGATCCACATAAACCAAGTCACATACTCCCACTCTCTTTCCTCAGTGATTGGGTCAGGACACACATGTGACCTAAGTTAACCTAATCAGAGTGAAGCCCAGGACTTCTGCATGACAGCTGAAGAAGAGAAGCCTTCTTGTTTTCTGGATGGCATGTGGTGTAAATGTGAAGCCTGAAATGGCTATGGTCATCATGCCAAGAGGGAAACCATCCTGTGTTGAAGCCCCAAGAGAATCACAGAGAAACAGAACAGGCATTCTTTTCAAACCCTACCTGAAACCCATACTACCTTTGGACTCTTCAGTTATATAAGCAATACATATCAGTGAGATATTGCCACAATAGTGCTGTGAAACAAACCACTTCAAAATGCATTGGCTTAAAACAACTGTCACTTATTCTGGCTCATGCAATTCCAGGTCAGCTGGAAGTTGGCTGATCTAGGTTGGACTCAGCTGGGTCTGGCTCCAACCTGCAGATTCCAAACCTGCCTCACATTTCTCTGATGCAAGGGAGCCAGAGCTTGTTCTTCTCATGGCAATGGCAGAAATACAAGAAAGGTAAGTGAAAATAGGAATACTTTTAAAATCTGGCCAAAGCAAGTCATGTAGCTGAGCCTAACATCCATGAGTTAGGAAATACGCTCACCTTTAGAGGGAGGAACCTCAAAATCACACAGCAAAGGACACAGCCCAGGGAGGGATGAAGGCTGGGAAGAACGACACAGCCCACTGCATTTCTTTGATTGTTTAGGCCAGTTTGTTTTTTATATGCTACTGAAAACTTCCTAGATTGATATACTTTCTAAATGAAAATAATGAATATACCATTTGGGTGAAAAAGTGCATGTTCTTCAAATAAATGTCAGTTCTGATTTGCTCTATGAGAATTTCCCAGGACAGATCCATGAGGAATTGTGTGAGAAATCTAGTTCCTACTGGTTCACCTGGGTGCCAGTGTATACTGTACTCTGCTTAATTTCCAAGACAGGCAGGCTGACAGCAAATACACTTTAGCCAGCCTTACATTGGGTGGTCTAGAGCAAGGAAGGTGGGAAGCATATGTGTTGTAATGATGGCATCTAATCGCAGGCCTAGTTAACAGATTTAAAATGCAAGCATCTTGACAGAGGTCAGAAGCCAAGATTATTTTCAAAAAGAGATACGTTCAGACATTCCCCTCTGTGTTGGAAGTGTAAGCTAACATTGAAACATGGGCAGTAATGAAATTCTCCGGTGAAGAATTATACCTCATTTATGAAACAGCTCCTGTATCAGTGATACAAAGGCAGGCTGGGGAACAGAACAGAATGGCTTTTGTTTCCTACACAATAGCTGTAACACCAACAGCTGCCGGGCCTCACACATCACCTTTCTAACTGCTAAGTACACAAAGTGGCCTCCGGGGTCAAGAGCCAGCAACCAGTACCAATGATGGTGGGTGTCTCAGGAGAGTGGCCAGGCATTACAATGATTCATAGTCAACCCAATTTTGTGCCCAGGTTTTAATTAAAAACATATCCATCGCTAGGTATGATGAAGTCTTCTGACCTGAAAAAATCGTGTTTTTCTTTTATTAGTATAGATAGTTTTTAAATGTCTTGGAAAAAAAAAAAATTCTTCCTGGCCCGGAAACCCCCTTCAGTGACAACTGTAAATGAAGACGGCTTCTGCTGCTTTATGAAGGGTTTATTTTGCACAGAAGCAGGAAGCACAGGTTACTTTTTGATGAAAGCAGAATATTTCCTTCCTTTATGTTCCTTCAAACTATGAGTTTTCATGGGAAAGAAAAACAGACATGCAAGATCCTATGAGTCGAGCCAGCTTTTCCTTTTCTCCCTCTGAACATCTGCCAAAAACTGTCCCATGCATTGGAGATTCTATTTTGGGTCTGATTTCCTTCATAGAAAGTAAAAATAAAAGCCCTAGCTCTTGGCTCACATTTTATAGACAGAAATTAAATGATCCTCATAATGGAAAATTATTTCAAAGATTAAACAGGGTGAATTGTAACCTATTTACCTACCTACCATACCAGGAATAACATGGATGGGAAATCCAATTCTTATCTCCATATCCTTTCCAGACATTTCTATTTTTCTAATGGCATTAGGTTAGCATTTTAGACAAATAGATGATTTTTTTTTTGAAGTGGAGTTTCGCTGTTGTTGCCCAGGCTGGAGTGCAATGGCACCATCTTGGCTCACTGCAACCTCCGCCTCCCGGGTTCAAGAGATTCTCGACAAAGGGCCGATTTTAAGTGTAGAGATCAACAAGTAACCCAGCAAGATAAAACAAACCATACATCATGGGGTATAAGCTAACCTTTTAAGCTAAAAAAGAAATTCCTTAAAGTTGATGTCAACTCTCATAATAACTTTAAAATACAAACCATAGATTCCATTGCTTAGGTAGGAAAGGAAGGAATGATAATATTTGATACCCCTGTTAGGAAATTCCAGAGTTGAGCTTGGGGGTTGGGGGGGCGGGGAGGAATGTGGAAGATTCGGAGGTCAGATGGGAGGGAAGACAGGCTGAGATGGGAAAACAGGGAATAGAAATGAGCAAATGTTTATGTTTTAACCTCTTTATCTATAATTCCCTATGAGCTTCTGAAACAGAAGACTGTACATGTGAGTAGCTGAGTCACTACTGGAGGAGTTTGTGGTTGCTTTTATCCATTTATTTGGTTGCCTGCCACCCTGCAACTAGACTATTAACTCCTAGAGGCCAGGAACTATGTCTCTGTGTTTTGAGCACTTGCCTTATTTTAGCTGAACCATTTCTGCCATGCATTTTGGGGCATGTGGTACGTGGTAGAATAGGCACATCAACCTCGTGTTTCGTGGACCCTTTGGAAAGGGTGTTGACATAATTTCTGTATTCCAAATTATTTTAGTTGCTTCATTTCCATTTGCTTAAATGGCCAAATGAATAATCTGGATGTAAATCTGGATTTATACTTAGGATTAAATTTGATCTTTTTAGTAAAAATGATGTTGATGTGCACACCCAGTTGAGTTTATGTCATGATTCACATACATTGGTCAAGAGAACTTAAATAAATAGTTTTGAGTTTTAGGCACACTTGTTAACTGTTCTGTGTGTATGGACAAAAAATGGTCAAAATATAATTTCATTGGATATACATAGAACCGAGTTCCGTGTTTCCGCAAGTGGTTTGGTTTCTCTTCTGCACTTAGAATGAGTTAGAATGACTATAAAAGCATTACTGAAACTCAATTTCAATGTTAGATTCAAAATTGGGAGTTATTAAAACAACAAATAGGCTGATATACTAGAAAGCAACAAAAATAAATACAAATGATCCTACATAATACATACAAGGTTCATACTAAAATGGATCACGATGCTATCTATGGTGAATTTTTTCTTATCATAGCATTTCTTTTGGAGGTTACGTTCCACCTTTGGGATCATTAACCTGGGTGTCATTAGCTTGGTGGTAAGGTTTCGGCTTGTTTTCTTAACTTTGCCACTGGTTGAAATCCTGAGCCTCTTTTTCCTAAATACCAGTTTCCTCGGGTGTAAAATGGAAGTAAATTACATGAACCTCTGCTTTCC